CCGAGCCCTTCCTTCCATATTGATCCCGCTCCTAAGAGAACCACATGGCCCAGTCCTCTCTCCTTAGACTCCATCTGCCAACGCCGTTCCTGGAGGATTAGGCTTCCCACCCGTGCTTTGTGGGGGCGCGCTCACATCACGGGACTGTCTAATCACCTCTGCCCCCTGTGTGCCTCGTCAGCGGTCTGGGCCTGTCTGTGGGAGGGAAGCCGTAGGCTGCCTTTCCGAGTCTACCATGATGGGTTCCGTACTGGTTCTGGTTAGAACCAGGCTTCTCTGGGCTTGAACAGGGCAAATCAACAGGAGCCGTGCTTCATGGTTTTAAAATATATACTATCTCACCGAGAACAGACTCTCCTCCAGCTGCCCTCTCAGAAAATATATATACATATAAATACACACACTGTCTGTACATATATAGATATACATGTATGCAGGTTGACTTTTTTTTTTTTTTTTGAGTTGGAGTCTCACTCTGTTGTCCAGGCTGGAGGGCAGTGGCACGCTCCCGGCCACCGCAGCCTCAACACGCTGGGCTCCGGCGATCCTTCTGCCTCAGCCTTCCAGGTAGCTGGAACTACAGGTGCACACTACCATGCCCGGCTCATTTTTTGATTTATTGTAGATATGAGGTCTCACCAAATTGCCCAGGTGGGTCTCGAACCCGCGGGCTCGGGCAATCCACTCACCTCAGCCTCCCAAAGGCGCGGGATTACAGGCTGAGCCACCGAGCCCGACTTGCAGTTTGACTTTCAAACATTTGACTTTCACATGTTTTTAGGAACTCAATTTTTCTTTCTATTCTTAGGTTCTTGGAGTGCTAAGTCAAGATGGTATTATGAGATTTGTCAACATACAGACTTGTAAACTTCTGTTTGAAATTGGGAGCCTTGATGAAGGAATTAGCTCATCAGTAATTAGCCCACATGGACGATACATTGCATCTATTATGGAAAATGGAAGTTTAAACATATATTCAGTTCAGGCTTTAACACGAGAAATAAACAAGGTATGTGATCAAGCACTCCCTGTCAGTTTTTTCAAAACATTTAGATATTGTATCGAGAATACAATCTGTGTGATACCATTTTTTAACTTCCCAGTAATGCATCTGTTTTTTCAGGATATATTGTGTTGCTCTTACTCCCAAAGCCACATCTCCAGCCTTGAGTCTCACCATTCTTTTTTTTTTTTGAGTTGGAGTCACTGTCTCCCAGGCTGGAGTGCAATGACAAACACAGCCACCACAACCTTGACCTTCTGGACTCAGGCAATCCTTCCGCCTCAGCCTTCCAAGTAGCTGGAACTGTAGATGCCTGCTACCATGCCCGGCTAATTTTTTTGATTTATTTTAGAGACGAGGTCTCACCAAGTTGCCCAGGCTGGTCTCAAACTCCTGAGCTCAGGCAGTCCTCTTGCCTTGGCCTCCCAAAGTGCTGAGATTACAGGCATGAGCCACCTCACGCAGCCACACCATTCTTAAATTGCTACCTTCCTGGAGAATATGTGTTTGTTGTCTCTGTCTCCTTTAAGGTGTCACTCGTGATCTCCTAGTGGCTTCGTTTCTGTCTCACTCCTTCCCATCTCGCAGGCCAGAAACCTTGAAGCTCTGTGCGGTCCCTATGCGGTCAATGTTGAATTACCTACCTGCTTGAACTTGAAGCATCTCCATACATGCTGCTTGGCCATCTCCAGAGTGGCCCTCCCTGTGGGCCTTTGTTAACTACTCTTGAGCAACAGGAATGCAAACAGAGGCTTAATCTCAGAGTCCTCCGTTCCTGTCCTGCCCATGATTCCCTCTTCTGCATGACGTTCGTCTGAAATAATTCTTTCGTTGTCGTTTCTTAAATAATGGTGCTCTGGTAGCTTCCTTCCTTTTGCCTGCTGAATTGCGTCCAGACTCTTGCACCTAGCTCTCAGTGTTCTCATCAATTATGTCTGCTCGTCTGAGTCATTTCCCCATGCTGGCAACTTGCCTCATCTTCCCCCGTAGACCCCGTGCTCATATGTATGTCTGCCATCCACACCATTTATGCCACCTGCAGCACATGCCCTCTTCTCTCCATGGTTTTTCGAGTCCCCCGCCAACACATCACACTGTCTGTGTGCCGCCTTCCCGGGCTGCGGTTGTGCCATGGCGGTCCAGACACAGACTTTGGGACTTGGCTGGTCCACACTTTTCATTTTGCAGAGGAGCTTTATGTCCAGCCTGGTCACACAGCTCGTCACCGGCAGATCTAGTTGTTCTGATTCTTAATACAATGTTCTTTTTTTATGTGCTGCCTCCTTTTTGTCTTCTTTGTCTTCTTAAAAACGCATTATAAGTAGTAAGTGTCTCACTGCAGAAAAAGTAAAGTGATACAGATAAGCAAATAGATAAAGCAAATCACTGAAAGTCTTATTATTCTCAGATGATTTTGATAGCTACTTTCCCAATCTTTTTTCTTTTCTTTTTTTTTTGAGTAGGAATCTCACTCTGGAGTGCAGTGGCATGATCACGACCATCATGGCTCATTGCAGCCTCGACCCTCTAGGTTCAGGTGATCCTTTTACCTCAGCCTCCTGAGTAGCTGGCACTATAGGCCCACACCACCACACTTTGCTAATTTTATGATTTTTTTTTTTTTTTTGAGACAAGGTCTCGCTATGTTGCCCAGGCTGATCTCGAACTCCTGGGCTCAAGCAGTCTACCCACCTCGTCCTCCCAAAGTGCTGAGATAGCAGGCATGAGCCACCGTGCTCAACCTCCAATCTTTTTCCTATGTGTGTAAATATATGCAGTCACTCCTTATTATTTGTGGATTGTGTATGTGAGAAGTCGCCTACTCACTGAAATTTGTAACTCCAGAATCAATACTTGCAATGCTGGCAGTCATTCACAGACGTTCCCAGAGATGCTTTGAGTCACCCAATGCCCTTGTTCCCAGCTGAAGCCCAACAAAGCAACACTTTGCCTTCATGTTTGAATTCTCACAGTGTAAACAAATATCCTTTCTGTGGTCTATTCAGTACCATGGTGTGCCTCTTGAGGCTTTTTGTTGTGTTTTTCTGTGTAAAGTGGTCCCTAGACATAGGACTTAAGCGATGTCTAGTGACCCTCAGCACGGGAAGGCTGCATACACTTCACGGAGGGAATGCGTGTGCCAGGTACGTTGCAGTGCTGTTGGCCATGAGTTCAGTGGTCCAAGTCAACAGTATGTAGTAAGAAAGTGTCTTTAAACAGAAGCACACAAAACAAAGCTAGATTTTGATCTGTGATGAAAGTGTTGTGACCAGAGGCTCTCAGGAACCTAACCTGGATTTCTCCTGGGAGCAATGACTGCAATCTCACTAATTGACATTGTGGAACTACCGCAAATGATGGCAGTCAACTGTATGTATGTGTGTGTGTGTGTGTGTGTGTGTGTGCATTTTCTCTAAACACACAGGATTATTACTCTGCTGCCTTTAAAATTATATACATTTATATATACTATATGTCTATTATCACTTGTTTTTTTTTTTTTTGAGTTGGAGTCTCACTCCCGACCACTGCAGCCCAACCTGCTGGGCTCCGGCAATCCTTCTGCCTCAGCCTTCCAAGTAGCTGGAACTATAGGCGTGCGCTACCACGCCCGGCTGATTTTTTGATTTATTGTAGAGATGAGGTCTCGCCAAGTTGCCCCCG